GAGTTTTTACCGCGGAAATCGTCCGTGTCCAGCGGGCTGCGTGCGATGACGTAGAAAAATGGCGTGCATGGCAAATAATAATATCATATTATATACGTAGTTATAGTTAATATAGATATTACATTATTATTCAAAACGTGTGTTATCATTATTTTTTTTTTTACGAAACCGCTGGCCATCTCGTGTGGCGGGTACCCAGCGCGCAAGCAAAACGATTTTCTGTAGAATAAATTATAATATATCATGCGGTCATTATGTCATAATTCGTTTGGCACTATATGYAAGAAATGAGTTTTGATTTCAAAATATTTTTATCAATCTACCAAAATCCAAAAAAATAAATTTAAAATTTCTAAAAATTTCTTTAAATCTATGCAATTTTTCTACCAGAAACTACCATAGAATTTAACGATCAAAACTTTTTTATCGTAGGTACCTAGTCCAAAAGATATGGATAGACATAAAATAAAATAACAACGACTATTATACAAATTAAAAACACGTCGTTCTAATCAATATACTTTCATCAATCTTCTTATATAATCTAAAATAATTCAAATTTGATAAGAATAATGCACTACATAAATCTTTCTCATTCTTTAAATCTACAACAACTTCAACCTAGATAAAATATAGTTGACTGCATGGACAATTACCATAACATAAATTATTATTTAATGCAATTTATAAATAAATATATTATCATCACTTTATATACCAGTGCACTGCACTGCCTAACCTACCATAATATAGGTAGGTCTTTTTTTTTTAAACATAGTTAAAAAAGTCTCGTATAGATATTCATATAGTTAATTTCCCATTACACCGTTACGGTGATATTATATAACACTATATAAATACCTGTAAAACTTAAATTACAATTTTCTAAAATATTTCATATTTGAACGTCTAATGAGACGTATAATGATGGTATATTTTTATTATTGTTTCATTATTGTGCTGTGGGTAGAATTAGTGTTCATACCAAAATCAAATGGGACAGTATAGGTACAGAGGTGTATGGAAATAATTTTAGTGTAATTTCACAATTCGTTAGCTTATTTTCCTGCGTCGAACTTTGTATTTTATTTATATAATTGCTAAGAAAGTAGGTATTTGTAGTAGGGAAACAAATATATGTATCAGTTTATGTATAAAAAAAAAATAAGTAACTATATATAAATTAACTATTTTTAATTTTGTTGAATAATCGAAATTCGTATATTATACTTTATCTAAGTCAGAGATTTTCTCAATATGAGAAACATGAGAAACATTAAATGTTTTTAATTGCATGGTAAACAAGATAACATAAACTCATAACTCGTAAGTATGTTTATTCTACCTCGTGACTTACCTTATGAATAATCGATTAATCAGTAATCAAGTGAAAACATTTTTTTTTTTTTTTATAATATATGAGTCCAAAACAATTATATAATATATTTACTTAGGTATCTTTAATAGCACGTAATTTCCTGAGAATTAGGTACATGCAAATTATAATGTTATGTAGTGTGAAATAAAGAATAATAAAAAAAAATTTTTTTCTTGTAAATGTATATTGTATACACCATATAGTTTTTTAGACTTGACTTATTAGGTATAATATGAACTTAATTTTTCTGTATAAATATAATTAATATAAATGATTCAAAAAATCTTTTTTTTKATATAAAAATGATTGAAAAAAATAGTTGGGTGAAATCTGGGTGGGTTTTCTATTGCATTGACTATTAAATATAATTTAATACAAACAAAATTAAATAATACAGCGTAAGTAATTGCTATATTTTAAATAAAAAGTGAGATACTATGACCTGAGGCCTGACAGTTGAAATTAACCTTAAAAGTTAAACTAGCTCTGGATTTTAATGCAAAAAAATATTATAGAATATACATTTATTAATATTTATAAAATAAAAAAAAATGGCGATACATAAACAATATAAAATTCAAACATGGCACATATTATTCATACAAGAATGAAATAACTAATAAAACATGTAAAATAATATAAACATTTTAAAGATCTACAAATTGTAACTATTGGTGTTTTTTATTATTTGCTTACCTATATTTATAAAACAATTAAAACAACATTAATAGTAGATTATAAATTTATTATTGTACAAAACATTCAGAACATTAAACATTAATCCGGCTAATTGTTCAAATATCCTTGGCTATTTAGCTTAGTTACAATCAAATTTGAGCAAAATTCAAATTATTTTATTTGATGATTATAAAATAACCAATATACAACTTAATATAATTATCTAGAAATATGTGACTCACAACTGTATTAATTTTAACTCTGAAAATGTGTAAAATATACACAAATAAAACAAAAATTACGTATAGAATATAATATACTTATAACGCTTTAATTCGTTTGCAATATTAGTTAACCATACTTAATATGATAGATAATATAATAGGTATTTCAGCCTAAAAATATTTATCATATTTTTTTAATARTATAGGTACTACGTACATACTTATATGTATTTCATATTTAGAAGGAAAAAAATAATATATAAAATAACATGGCTGGATTCTATATTTTGATAACATAATGAAATAGGCATTTATATAAATCACTGCAATGTACCCGAGTCTCAAATAAAAAACGTTAKGTACCTATTGAAAATKTAAATCYAATCTATTTTGTCATATATATTATAAAGTTAAAGTATGATATACGACTAGTCCAATATATTTTTCGTCTAATTTTGAAGCCCAATTGGAAATTACAATATTATAGTTCAATAAAAATGTTTTCCAATTCAAAGCAGTCCAAATTACTTAATTTATGAAATATGTTAGAGCTAATTTATTTTCCATTCTTACTACATAAGACAACTTGTAAGATATTGTGAAAAACTTAATTGATATAACTTGTACGAAAGCGTTATTGCCTTTGCTACTTACGTACATTGAATTAACATAATATATTTTTGGATGACCAATGCCTGGTTTCTCCTAAATATTCTCCAGAAATTTGGAATATAAAATATGAAGTTGTATTAGGGTGAATAAAAGGAAACAATTACATTGTAATTTGTAGGTACCATTCGGAACTGGAAAACGTTGTATTAACTCATMATTCTAATATTTGGACTGAAAAAAAATTAGATCTTATGTTAGGAAGGTCAGGAAGGACCTTATTATTCTTATAAACTCAGGCACGTAACTAGACGTTTTTCTATAAAAAAGCCAATATTTTTTGGCCCATTTTTGTTTTTTTTTTACCCAATACCACTCCTCTCTTTATCAGACAATATCTATAAAAAATAATACTAAATTTCACAATGTATTGTCTGTATTAGTTAAGCATTATATTTTTATTMTTTATTAATATAGGTACACATATATATCTTAAAMACTATATTAGGACAACTAGGACAAGTCGTCTATTTCTATGGTTCGCTGCTAGTGCTAAGTCTCTAACTCGATAGATAATAATATTATATTGGGATATATCATTTTGTTAGGCATGTTTTTTTTATTATACGATTACCGTATTGGTTCACTATTATATATAGTATTGTCTGTAGTTGTGTTTATCAAATATGCGTTTGATACCCGTATTTSGAATTCCTAGTTTTCAATTTATTAATAGACGTATTATTATATTGTCTATCTTGTATTATTGATGAATATTTATTAAATCTCGGAATTTAATTTTTGTTATACGATCGTTAACTTTACTATATTATGGAGTACCATATAATAAATATTTAGGATTTAACCGGCTTGGGACAATTATATGACACACCATAATATTTAAAAATGAAAATCAAGAGGGGCCAGTCCGGGGCCACTGACATTTCTTAGGGGGCCTGGCCCCCTAAGGCCCCCCTTAGCTACGTGCCTGATAAACTATCGAAATCTAATAATTAATTAAATAATAAGTCATATAATATTATAGCATGTGTTCATCTATGATAATATGGGTACCAAAAAAAACACGTGTTAAAACACTTGAGTAAACATAGTCAATAGTCAAAATGAGGGTTTTTATATAAGGGCAAAAAAATAGTACTATAATAACATGTTGATAAAATATAATAAAATATTTACAATTCGGTTCATTGACTATTACTATACTATACTATAATATAGTATGTTTGTTCTGTTTTCACGTTTCACGCTATTTATAAATCATATGATGTAACTATGGTATTATACGGAACTTGGAATGAATCTACGTCCGTAAGTATTACTAGATGTACTAAGAGTAACATTATACCCATCTACTCTGTGACCTGTGTAAATACTTATGAAAGAAGTACTTACTCATGAAGTAAACATTTAAAAAATACAACAAGATATTACATTAAAACGTTTTAACAGATATTTTTTCAATTATACACTTGTACAATAAATTTAACAAGTGTGTTAACAGTGTTAAACTGCGTGCTTCTTCACATAATAATATTGTGTTAGTTGTTATTATTGACTTCGAGGACAACCCCCGTGTGACTCACTCTCACACCAATAACGTGATATACATATATTCCACAGTATGGTTGGAGCTAAGTAAAAGTCTACACTGGATATAAATATAGCATTGCGAGTAGCATCGACATTCGTGCGAGGTCTCTCGTGGTATTTTATTATTATTATTATTATTTAACAAACTCGGTTCCCATCGAAGTTTTTACCTTCTCCCGGACGAGCTGAAGAAATATCGGTTTGTCGTGACCGAGTAACCACCTCGCGGCACGAAACCATCCCAAAACGGTGCAATGTCGGTATAAGTTCGATGGCTCCCCTTCCACACCMCCACCAATCACCACAGCGAATTTTTTTTAATCATTACGTGCAAATATATTTTAATGAATGACATGTCTTGGTCGAAATATTAAAGGTGAATGGTAAATTGTTATAGGTCAAGTTACCGATACCAACTAAAGAGAGTTTACCGCAGGTGGCCGAAGCATTAAAGGCGGCTACGTACTTGATAGACAGCGATGAACTGGAAAAGAACTTCGAAGGACAGCGGGATAACTATAAGAGATCACCCAGGAAATTGGGAACTGATGATCTAGAAAATAACTCGGAACTACAGGAGTATCAAGGTGTTTTATTATTATTTTATTTTTTTCATATTATGAGTGTTGAAAATATACTTTTCACTATAACCAACAACACGCAAGTGTTCTATTTTGGAACTGCTTAATTTTAGATAATAATGTACTGTATTTTGTGTAGGAGTAATGGGACGTCCAGGTGTTGACTTTCCAATATTGCCATCTATACCTCGTACTGATTTCAGCTGCAAGAAGGTGAAGAAACCTGGTTACTACGCAGATCCCGAAACTGACTGCCAGGTAAATAATAACGTTTTTATAGCAAACAATACTTTTTAAATTCAAATACTGATATAATTTTTTTTATATATAAATTGTTGTACAATAATTCATATGATATCATGTAGAAAATAGTTAATGAAGACGAAGATAGTGAAAAAATATCAAAAAATTAAAATTAATCATGTGTAATACGGTTAATTAGATAATTGTTTATGATTCAGATGTATTTTATGGAAGTTTGAAAAAATGCTAAGTTCTAATTTTAAATTTCATAAAAATTATTTTTTGTAACAATTAATTAATTACATTTAAAAAAAAAAGCCAATATTTTATATATATCTATAATCTGTTTAAGTTAAGATACTTAGTCGGAGGTGGCCAGTTTTCGTCGGGCCGCAGTCAGGCAACACCCGTTATAAGATCTGTATACCTAGATCAAGTATAATGTTTCCAAGCACTTTCGCAGTAGTCAGCTGCCGACTTCGGTTTTTAACTGGAACAGAATATATTATAATGAATCAAATGAATTTTTAATGCAAATAAAAAATAATTCGAATTCAATATTGCTTATAAAGTTATAAATAAATATTTTATTAACTATGTAATTAAAATATCCCTTTTCTACACTTTAAATTTCTTCAAACAATTTCTATGTGTAATGTGTTATAAATAAAATTTAGCAAAATATGATAAAATATTCATCAGTTTTTTCACGCTACAGATATGAAGTATTAGTAACATAAATAATTATCATTACAAATTAGAAGTATTTAAATGATTTATTTTTATATTTGAAGTGCATTTGATATATTTTTTTAATAAATTAATGAAAATATTTTTTCAGGTATTTCACATTTGCGATAATGGAAGGAAAGTATCATTTTTGTGTCCAAATGGTACGGTTTTCCGTCAATCACATTTAATTTGTGACTGGTGGTTCCGTGTGGATTGTGAAAGATCGATTGAATTATATGAAGAGAGTGCAGAACAGCTTGCATCTGACCAGCGGATTTTTAAAGAGCGTGCTGAAACATTGGCCAAAGCTATGTTAAAAGTACAAACAACAACACAAACAAGTGATAGTGATCGCGTTGTAACAGAACGATCGTTTGGTCCGAGTACAACTATTTTCAATTCCGAAAGTAGACTGCCTGACCGTGCCAGATACTTTAGTGACTATTCAAGAGACGAAAATCAAGTTCCAGCTGAGACGGGTTCATTTGCTGGAAAACAGTTGCAAACTAATTTCAATCATTACTATTCACAGTCCAAATCACCTACACAAAACTGGAATCAAGAAAATTATCAAACACAATCTTCGACAACAGCACAGCCGATYTGGAATAACAACTATCCAAGCAATACTTATCAAGCACAGTCTACAATAACTGTACAGCCTACCTGGAACCAGGTTGCTAATAACATTCATCAAACTAGCTCTTATCAATCATCATCTGTAACGACTGCACAGCCAACCTGGAACCAGGCTGCTAATAACAATTATCGAACTGGCTCTTATCAGTCACCATCTGTAACGACTGCACAGCCTACCTGGAACCAGGCTGCTAATAATAATCATCAAACTAGCTCTTATCAATCACCATCTGTAACGACTGAACAGCCAACCTGGAACCAAGCTGCTAATAACAATTATCAATCTAGTTCTTACCAATCACCATCTGTAACGACNATCACCATCTGTAACGACTGAACAGCCAACCTGGAACCAAGCTGCTAATAACAATTATCAATCTAGTTCTTACCAATCACCATCTGTAACGACTGCACAGCCGTCTATCGTTCAAGGTATCAATAATTTCCAATCTAGTTACCAACCACAATTTACCACTAGTGCTCAATCGGTTCAAGGGGTCACCAGTTCACAAGTAACCTACCAACCACAACCAACTACTGTTGTGTCTAAAACAAACTGGAACCAAGGTAACATTAATTATCAAGCCGGAAATTATCAAACACAACCTACCACAGCAGCAACTCAAATTAACTGGAATAATAATGGTAACAACGGTTATAAAACTAACAACTATCAATCTTATGCACCTTCAACAACACCACCGAATTGGAGCCAAGGTAGTAGTAGCAACTACCAATCTGAAAATTATCAATCACCGTTCACAACAGTAGCCGCTCAAGCTAACTGGAATAATCAGGGTTCCAATAATTTACAAACTGAAAATCATCAAACATCACCATCAACAACATCGACACCAGTAAACCGGAATAACGAAGGTTCTAACCACTTTGGGAAACAAGTGACGACTGCCGCGCCACAAACTAACTGGAATGGAGCTATCAATAATTTCCAATCAAATAACTACAACTCTCAACCAATAACAACGATACAACCAGATTGGAACCAAGAGTCTGATACTGTTCAGCCCAATCTTTTCGAAACTCAACAATCTTATCAACAACAGACTACTATTTTTCCAGCCGATAATGAACAAACCATCCCAGCCAAGGAAAGCCAAGTACCCGCAGAATCAGCTTCATTTGTAGGCCACCAAAACTCGCCTCGTTTTAATTTTCAACCAGATAATTACTACACACAAGCTCCTCAGACAAATGTACCACCTACCGCGTATCCGGTAACAAGTTCTTATACAAATGATTATTCACCAAATGGAGCTTTTTCCTTTGTTGAATATCAAAGATCACCCGATACTCCTATCGTTAGAGATAGCTCAACTCAAGCTTCTCCGGTTATGACGACGGTAGTGGACTATTTGGTAGATAATTCCACATTACCACCGACCGGAGAGACATTAATCCCAAATATGATAAACTCATTACAATCATTAACAGATAATAATCTARTTTTTGACTTGGACGGGCAAAACACTTATCCTTCACAAACGAACACCGACGATGAACTGAATTCCGTCGCATTGTATTTTAATAATGTAAAAACCCCACAAGTGACTACTRTTGCTAGTGACTTGCAGTTTAATCATGTTGAACAAACTTCCAGAGCATACACCAATGGGATAAGTTCAACTACTGTTGATTCGGTCAAAACTACTACACCGGTTGATACTTTACATATACCTGCAGTTTTGACGAAAAATACAAAAGATGCATATGATAAGCTTTTCAGAAATGATACCACCAAAGAACCAATGGTYGCCTTAAAGATAGCAGATACTAGTAAGCCTGTAACCAATCCTACTAACTCTGTGAACCTAGGATTTGCTCAGGGATTGAATATAAACCGTTCGTCGGCGGAATTGAGAGAACTGGCTGCAGTATTTACGCGTGCTTTAACTGCATATTTGGACGATCCAGAGAATTTCCGTAAAATACTAGCTGAAGTAAGACCTACGGAACCATCAAGTATCAAGACTAGCGTTACCGAAGAACAAGAAGTATTGGATTTTTCTGATGATTCAAAGCATCAACGAGGGAAACCCACAGAACCAAGAACACTGAGACCAAATTTAGCAGCTGAAATAAATGGTATGACACAAAGTATCAATGCACTAACAGATTTATCAACCATTATTCCACAATACACCTCATCGCCATTAATAGAAATCACATCGAAGTATACTGAAACACCGAATGCTGGTCTACAAGAATATGCACCACTAGAAGATAGCGAACAGCTACAATTAGCCGGAAGTCATTCGTTTTATTCAAGCAGAGATAATAGTATTCAAACGGCAAAAACTCTAAAACCAGCTGCATCCACGTTGTCATGGACAGTGTCTCCTTTAATAGACACTGAGCCGGACATAAAATCTACTACTCTATCACCAGTGTTCTTCACTACCCCCGCTGAAGGCTTAGAAACTACTGTAATTGTACAAAGGGCTAAAGAAATGTTCAGTCATTTGAATGCATCTGAAGCAGGAGTATTGATGAATGTTATGAAAACTGCTCAAGTTAATGATACAGTTAAAAGGTAATAATAATAACTCTTGATAACCACATTATTAATAATATCGTTTGTTGTCTAGATTTCTTTCAATAAAACTAATAGTTAATACGCTACAACACAACGTATGAAATAATGCATTTGTTATATAGTGATAATAAGTATTTATCTAATAACAATTAAGAGGAGTTAATGTATTAATTATAAATATAATAAACTCATATTCAATAAATATATTTCACGAAATGCTTGCGAACCAATGTTTTTAAACTAAATTAAAATAAAGTTTTTATTTAAGAAGTGCTGAGTATTCAAATACATATATTTTAAATACTTATGAAAATAAATACTTGTATCTGTACATTAATACTTTTGAAAAATATTTTTTACAAGGTGGCTATTTATATAATGTGTACATATCGTTTAATTTTAATAAATAAATTAAAAGCTTAAAAAACATTTATGAAATTTCATGATAATTATGATTAATATAATAAGATAGCAATTATAATTTATAGGTAATTACATTTTTTGTAATAAAAGCTTAGGCACCTATGTATGAAAATAATATATATTGATGTATCTTATATTATAATACATTATTAAAACATATGTGATAACTTCTACTTATACAACTATTTACACTTGACACTTGTCAAATATGAAACAGTTTTTAATAATCTAATAGGTTCAATTATAAATTATATTCAAATTTAAACGACCATTTATAAATATTAAATATAATATGATTTTATATTGATTTAATTATATTATTTAATTTCTAAATCAGTTAATAATTCCATGAATATTGTTAAATACATACCTAATACAAAATAATATCGCATTTTCATATTGTATCTTCGATGTGGTGGTTTTTTCTATACCACAAAATAATTGTCACGTTACCTAATTTATTATTCATTTGATTTATAAGCCAACATTATTTAATTTATGTCATATGGTTCTGTATTGCATGTTTTGTACATTGTGACCTTACATTGTTTAATAATTATCACTTACCATTATGGTATTACCTAGTATTATTACAATAATTTTTGTATAAAGTTGATAAGCTGAAAAAATTAATATATTCTTTTTGTTATTATAGTGTTTTTTTAATTATTATTTAAACACTTATTTTACTTTACAGATTGGTTTTACTGTTGGTCAATGACTCGAACAAAGAGAATAGCCCCGAGCAGACTAGAAACAATTTAATCGAAGCATTATTGGACAATAGGAGTACTGATCAAGCATATGATGTCTCGTCATCATCTCCAACATCTACTTTTTTGCCATCGTCGCCATCAGGAATTCCATTTGGTCAGAGACTACAGGAAGATGGTTCACCGGTACTGGACGGACAGTATAAGAAATCTAGAAAAGGAACTAGGAGAAGAGTTGTGCACAGGAGTAGGTCAACCCCCGTTCCCACCACCCCAATGACACCAAACACTTGGCAGGGAGCTAACGATGTAGGTCCGGGGCTGAGTGATGATTCTGACGCCCGAGCAGTTGAACTCCTCAAGTCTCTATACTCGATCGCATCCAAATGGTCGTAGTTGGACATTTATCCATCGATGGTATTTCCATTCCGCCTGTGTCATAACCGTGTAAAAATCAAATTATTTACGAATTGTCTTCATAATATTTTTATATAAGTATTTTATATATTGTAGTCAGTTCGGGATTAAAAAAAAATGATCAAATTTGATAAATCATAATAATCAGAAAAAAATAATTAAATGTCACAGTTCATACACAATTGAGTCTACATCATGATTATATTTCTGATTTTTCTTTACATAAAACATTAAATGCTCAACTTTAATCATGGCCAAACAGTGGCKCTGATCCCTAATAAAATTTATTTATGTCATAGTAGATTTTTTAAATGGGGAGGGAACTGGCTGTRAAGTACTATAACCAGGACTTACGTCAAAACTATAAAACGTAAAAATAAATGTTTAAAATTTGCATTACCTATATGTATGTGCTTTTAGTTGCATCTGGTGATTAAATTTAAAAAGGTGGATGATAGGGGGAATGGACCTCTTGATGTAAAGTGTAATAGTATATTTTAAACACTTCAGCGCCACTGTAGCCGACTAGCTATAATTTTTGATAATTCAAAAATTTAAATTTAATTGTGACAAGAAAATTAGTCGAAGATTACTGATTCAATTTTGATTTTCAACTCTTCAAATATTGTTTACAAAATGCATGACCCTAAKGAGGATAATTGACTATCTTTTATAATACTCGTAATAATTGTCTTGGTGACTATAATTTAAAGTTAATATTCGAATGAAATATTTCTAAATTTCATACAGGATGAGCTATAAAAATATCGTGAGATATTGTTTAACCAAAATCATAACGCACTATTTAAACTAATTTTACTATTATGATGAAAAATAACATCAATAATTCAACATTTAAAATTTACTACGGTTGCAGTAATTTTCAACAGACTATAGTCAGTAATCTTCCATAACGGTCACTGTACCTAATTATAATTAAATTATGTCGATTTAGCGTTTAGAAGTAAGTTGCCATCGCCTAGTACAGCATATTATTAATTGTAAATGTCTCGACAATATACGCATAATGTAATTTGACTCTAGTCCTCGGCGAATCGGCGTGTTACTGTTTTAGGCTTACCTAAGACTTATGCACGTTGTATATATGTTGTATACATATGGTATTATATAATTTTGCTCATATATCAAAAGTAGATTTCTGTTAAGATTCAATTTTAATTTAATTATCAACTGCATACAATTGATATTGTACAATGTATGTATTTTTGATATTTATATTTAAAAGTAAAAATATATTTCTCTATTTATCTTTTGCACATTATTTTATTATACATTAAGTTTAAACTTTATTTTGCATACCTGCTGATAATTATTATAAGAGCTTACTTACTATTTACCTTCTTTCAAGCTGTAACAAACATGGTTTATATCATCAATCTAAAAATGTTAACATTGATTGATTGAGAGAATATTATTATAACTATTTTAATCTATGTGTTAAAAACTGCTTACCTTTTTCATTTATTCATAAGCAATGTAAACGCGTATGTACGTGTGAAACATATTTTACTCGTAGGTATATTATTATTAAGTAGTTCGTATGAAATATGAATTAAGTAATGATACTTTTATAATATTTTTAATTTACTCACATTATGAGTCGAATTACATTATATGCCATGTAATAATGTTATCACATTATATGTATTATGTAAATTGCATAATATTGTAAATAAAACATAAAATTATTGTGTATACTCAGTAGTAATTGATTGTCAATTATCGTTTATCATAAATTGGTAACCTATTCCTATATTCATATATCAATAKTTTATATCCAAATAATACGACCATCATGGYTAATGCAAACCCGGAGAAATCGCTTTGCTGTATAGTAAATGTTGAATGTACCTCGGCAAGYGAGTACCGCTTAGCTGTATATTAATATTGTAGTAGAATGAGCCATCGTAATAAATGTGTTAAATTCAAATTCCGTGTTATAAAATCATTATTTATGTACGAAAAATAATTTTGAGCGATGACGGCTTGTCGAGCTATATGATTAAGAATATCTTATGATATTACCACTATCAAATTAGGTAATTTATTTTACTATTGTCAGTTATTAGTAATACAGTAGGATGATTTATTTTTTTCCGAAAAAAAAAATTGCATTTGAAAATGTTATTCAGTGTATAAAATAGAGTATATAATATATACTTTAAAAGTTTCAAGCATTCACAAACAATATTATTAAATTATAACAAAGTAACTATAATCGTTTTTTTCGTTTAAATATCTAATTTTGTTCAAATTTGAATTTAAAATGTTTCTAAAAACTGTCTTATTTTTTTTTTTAGATATTTTCCTTATTTTTCGAACGATTTTTGAGAATCCTTGTTTTATATTTTCGATTTCTAATTACAAATGTTGAACATTCTATAATTTTTTTACTACATGATAATTTTAAAAATTCTGAGATTTTGATAATTTTGTCAAAATATAAAAAAAAAAGTAGTGCCAGTATTATATTAAGAGTAACATATTATTGAATTTTATAGAAAATTTAAAATGTCACATAAATGAGTTAAATTTGAATCAAAATATTTTTTAAATATTATGTAATTTTTAAAAGCGATAAAAAAAAATGAAGAAATATTGGAATTTGAAAAATATGATATTAAATTTGAAACTTTCACTAAACATTTTTATAAGCATTTCCCGTAAACGGAAAATTTTTCAAAATATTTTAACTGTTTTTAAGTTTTTAAACCATGAGATATTTTATAATTGTTGACAAACATYTTTCCACTAAGGAAGAAAGCTKGAATATTTAATGCAAGTGTCCTAATAGTTATTTAGCACCCATAACATAACAATTTTTTTGAACAGTAGGTTCAATGGTAATACGCATTAAATAATTTTAAATTAGTAAAAGTTGAACCTTTGAGAGTGGATTTATCTAGACATATACGAGCTATAATATGTCATAATATGTCTGTGATGTATTAATAATGGTTACAGTCCATTTGCTGAGAGAATTCCCCAAATTAACAGTCCATATTGTATCATTGCTTGATATAGGGCTAAATATACTGTACGAATTACATGCATTGGTACAATCTCGCGTAATTTATAAAAGCTATAAATCAAAATACGAAGACACATTAATAAATTATTTACATTTAGATTCCAYCTCATGTGTTTATCAATCKTTAAACCCAAATAACGTATACTTGAGACTCCATATATGGTTTTACATAGTTTATCATTGCACAAATTATAACTGTCACAAAAGTGTATCGTTAAATTATCGWAATGTTCTTCTTTGTTATTTGTCACGAAATTCACAAACATTGTTTTATTATAATTTATTGATAGCTTTCTATAATTTATGAACTCTACTACWTTTTTAAAATTCTTTTAATGCTTTTATACRCACCTCATTCCAGGAGTCTCTTAAGAAGAGGAGACACGTGTGTCATCGGCATATTATGTGACGATCAATCCCTCAATATATAGACTACAAATACTGTTATTATATAGGATAAATAAAATTGGGCCCAAAACACTATCTTGAGGAAGACCGCAATTTATATACATTTTATCACCGGTAATACCATTTATTTGCCTTGCATTTTCCAAGTAACTCCGAAATCAGTCCAAGCTTGATAATACGATACCAAAATTTGGCAAAATTTTTAAAAGTTCTATAATATGATATAATAATAATAATCCACCATATCAAATACTTTGCCCAAGTCTAAGAAAATCACCAAAGCTTTTTTATTATTGTTCAGAGCATAATTTATAAAACTTATTGCGCTATATAGAGCATTTTTTATTCCTAGGCCTGGTCTAAATACAAATTGATTTTTCGATAGAAGTTTAAATTTTTCTAAATATTGTATAAGCCTACTTTTGATGATTTTCTCAAATATTTTTGAAAAATCACTTARCATAGAAATTGGTCTGTAGTTATTTAAGCACGATTTATCTCCTCTTTTAAATAAAGGTTTAATTACTGCTAACTTGAATTCTTCTGGAGATATACTATTTTTGATACTTAGATTATATATATGTGTTAAAAGACCTATTATATAATTAWCTACATGTTTTAATATTTTAATCAATACTCCATCTCATCCAGCTGCAGTTTGTCTTTAAGGTTTATAAGAATATTCTAAACATCTGACTTTTTAATAATTTCAGTAAAACAATAATTGTTGAAAGAGACTCCAGAAGCAGTCTCATTGTATATCAACGTAGACTTAATAATATCATTTGATAGTGTCTTTTCTAAGTTAGTAAAATAACTATTAAATGTCTTTGAAACCATGTGCGGATCGTCACAAGTATTTATGAYTTTATTATTCACTGTAACATGACTAATATCGTCCTATTTTTAAGTATGTTTTTCTGTAATTWCTTTTATTACTTTCTAAGTAAGCTTAAGACYGAAAAATACTTTATTAAATTTATTTTTAAAATAAGTATTTTTTGCTRCTCTTAATATTCATTTATTTATTTTTATATTTGTGATAATAAGAAACAAGTTTAGCATTATTCGGGTGTTTAGTTATTTTTAAGGATAATTCTTGTTTAAGGCGTACATAKCATAGTAGACCTGTTATTATCCATTCTTTTATATTTTTTATTTTTTGAGTTTTCCAATTTTATTGTTATTGAAGAACCTACAATTTGAGTTACTTTATTTATGAAAATTTTTACACTGTTGTTTACGCCATTTGAATTAAACATCTCAGTCCACATTTCATTTTTAAACTTTTCATTTATTTTTTTACAATTTATTAATAACTTCCTTTCCTTTATTTTTTATTTCAATAAACAGATTGTAGAAAAATGTTCAGTTATATTGGTCTATATTACTCCGGCTACTATTTAGGTTTTTTTTTCATTTTTTAAAAATACATGATTTAAACAAGAATGTTTCATTCCTACWGGAGTTCTAGTGTACACATTGATAAATTACTTAAATCTATTTTCTAGCATAATATTTAAATATTCGTTTTTTTAATTATCCACGCCAATTATGTTTAAATTAACATCCCCAATAATAATAATTTTTTTTCATTTAAATTATTCAATGTGATAATTAAATTACTTAAAATAGTCAAAAATTCGTGCTTGTTACCTGAAGGTGACCTATATAACAAATACATAACAAACTTAAGGATACCTAACTTATCAATTTTTAAATTAACTTTTATAATATTAGCATCTATATATTCATATTCAAAAAATCTACACTTAAACCATATTTCACAAAAATAATAATACCATCATTTTGGTTAATTTATTAATTTTAAATTAAAAAATTACAARGTTTATATCATGCCATGTTTCTGTTAAACATATTACATCTAAATTTATACAATTAGTATTATTCTGTTGGAACAGCAGAAATTCATCAAAATTACAACTCATACTCCTAATGTTACAATGAAATATATTTAAAAATATATTATTAACCAAGTTATATTTATTACAAAATTCCGAAACAGTGGCAAAATATTKTKTTTTATAATTCGGAAAACGATTTAATATATTTATGTGTGTCATAATTATAAGAAAACTTTGAAATCAAAAATGGTTTGGAACTGAAATTTGATTAAACTATTTTTCATTTTTATAATATGTTTAATTTTAATAGGTCAGACTCTGTATGTAAATAGGAATATGTATATTTATATATATTTAAATATATAACAAGTTAAAGTTGTATAATTTAATTATTAATTTCCTTATTTAACTAGGTACTAAGGTAACAATATTTATCACAGGTTTTGATTAATTTTCGTATTGTGTGGTTCTTTCAATCCAATAGAATCCATATGACATTGCAAATACTTCAATCTTCAAAGTTTGTAATACTACAAAATAATGTATAGTTGTGTATTTCTTTCATAGCACAATATAACTAGATAAAACTTTTGAAAGCTGTATATTATTATGGTCTTTAAATACATTTAAAAGTGCTTCTAACTGAAACGTTACTTATATTCTGGAACTTATTTCCATGCTATAAACAGTATAAACAATAAGGAATTACATTTTTATGTCATAAAATAAGCATAATAATATTAATAATTTATACTGTTGTTTTTGCCAAAATAAATTATTAAACAAAAAAATTTTTATCAAATATTATATGAAAATATATCTGTGTGACTATGTATATGTAAATATTAATAGCAGGTAACTCTTAAGTAACTTTGCTCTATAATGGATGTCGAGTGTACCTYGCTAATGATGATTGAGTCGAGCACTGGTAATAGATGTGCTAAAGTTGAAATTAATGATAAATCACTGCATATACGAAAAATGATAATGAGCGGAAACGGTCTATCAGCATACGAGTATGACGTAACTATAACTTATACGTAATTAGGTACCTACAGATATTTTATTATATATATTTATATTGCTAGCATTTTTGAAATTTATTTATCTCCAAGTATTAATATAGTTGATTAAAYTTGTGAACTAATTATTATTCCCAAACCAAACTAAATCGTATATTATATTAAAATATAATTAGGCGGTGATATCAACTTGTATAGGTAATTTATCACACCACGTATTATAYGTGCGCAGGCCTCTTTTTCAGGATATGCAGAAGACTGACAATAGCGCGCCCTGAAAGTTATTTTAAGCTCGTAAAATTCTGATAATATGTATACACAATTCACAAATATT